AATATAAATAAAACTATCTACTCTCATCTTATAACTCTACCGCCATCCTATTCGATTTCTAAAATCCTTATTTTTACTATTCTTTAGGTACTCTCATCTCGGTAGCCAATAAATAAAATACTTAACCTTAGCAATACATGCTAGAAAACCCTCAATCTATTGCATGCTTATACAAATCAAATAATGAATTTAAATTGCATAAAACCATTTACGAAAGTAAAGGTCCACTCACTCCTGGTCCGAGCTAGCTGGACCCCTTGAAGGTCCTTCCTACCCGTCGTTCCGAGCCCGTGTGCCTGATTAAAACATCATGAATATTTAATTAAAAAAACTGCTCGGCATAAGTATTTAAATAAGACCCGGACCCCCGACTCCTAGAAGTGCATGCACTAACTTTAGAAACATTTCCTATGCCTACAAAAGCTTTCCTCACATTTGGATACTGTTTGAGCCTCAAACGGATTTTGTATATTGTGCAATATCTAGGTTCAATAGGTTCGGACCATTGGATCGAACCCAAATTCTCGTACATCGTACCTCGTATTTCTAAGATCTTGTAGGATTCGACAGATCATGAATTGGAGTCCCGGATACTCCGAAATCGCGAACCCTAGGGTTAGGTTTACAATTATTATCCAATTGTACGATCGTGGTCGATCTGATCGTCCGATCAAGATCAAACTTTCGGGACTTGTGTCCTAAGTATATTGGAACCTCTAGGAGCTTCCGGATTAGAATTTAGAGGTCATGGGCCCACAGGGTCCTGGGTTGACATTCATAAAAATCAAGCATCATACTATTTTGGCCTCAAGCCTCAATAAATCAAATAAATCATTATGCTAATAAAATTCATCTAAGCATTCAGAATATCAATAATACACTAACAATCTCAAAGACTCCAACTCGTGGCTGCACCTTGTAAACTTAGGCTGCCTACGTACCCTTACTTAGGGCTCAAGGCACATGTAATTCTTTCCTCTACTCATGTCAATCACAGATTGAAACTAAGTATGCCATACACTGAACTCCCTTATTTTAGGTTAAATTCCTGTACACTTGGCACCTCGTGTGCATCTTTACTCTAGTGGAGTGCCTGACGTGATTTCGGATTATTTCGTTTTCTCGGTATGACTGAGTTTAGGGCATCCAGAAGGGTTTGGAAAATGTTTTGAGGTTTTCATATGAAAAACATAATATACAGGTTGAAAGTAAACGGTTCGATAGGAACTATAATTGAGGACATAAATTGTTATATCGAGGATTGGGGAAAGTAAAACTGGAGTTGTGGGTATGTTGGATTCGAGGGCTTAGGCAGTGTTGGAGATTGCATCCAGTTTGGGATGTTGTAGAAAGCATAGGTTACAAGTATACCATTGTAGAGAGGAGTGTTGCCTTAGGTCGTTTAACCATCTAACCTATTAGGATTAGCAAATGGTTTGGGGGCAAAGATGTTGTCTTTGGTCATTTTTCCTTTGCAAATCAGCAGTTATATCCTTTGAGAAGTGATAAAATGGTCATGTAGACGAGTCTTGACCAAGAATGAGTTATCTAAGTCTTGTTTCGGGTTGAATAGATAGTTAATTATAGGTTCCGGCTCGAATAGAAGCGGTATGTAACAACCCGATCCTTAATTAATTTTTAATTATTATTTTATTCAAATAAAGGACTAGAATACCCTCATAATATTTTTTTAGATCTAAAAGTTGACTTTTTATTCAGGAAGGAATTTGGAAATTTCAGTGGTACCGTTAGAGCACATCGAGATGAGTCCGTAGACATGTAGTGGGCTCAAATCTGAGTTGTATCGAGAAAGATACAATCAAAATACGGTGAGGGGCAAAATGGAAATTTGCAAATCAGATTTTAAAAACTCTCTCATCTCTCTCCTCGTGACAGAGCTCCCTCTCTCTGTTTTCTCTCCAGTCGAATGGCTCCGAGGGCTGCTGTCGCTGCCCTTCACGCCACCAGCCATGGGACCGGTCTAGATTGGACCGCCACCACCTCAACTCTTCATTTCACCGCACCCTCGACGTCATCGACGGCTCCAACTGCCGGAAAAGCTCGGAAACCCAGCCGGTTTTTCCCAAGATTCAAACCTCTCAATCTCTCTTCTCCAACCACCAATTCCAGCAATCAAGGTATGGTTTTACGACTAATTTTCAGGCTCTAGCTGATGGTTAGGTAGGATTTAAGAAATTTCTAGGTTTGACAGGTTGATTTTCGAGTTAGGGTTTGGCCGATTTTGGGATCGCAACTCCGGCCACTTCCAGCCAGTTTTTGGGGTGGATCCAAGAACAAAAGTGGTTCCAAATAGGGTTTTACACCTAGAGTAGGAAGCTTGGCCGGCAGTTTGGAGTTTTTTCGGCCGCCAGAATTTACTCAAGGCACCTACACACTGCTGGCGCATGGGCTTGGCAGTGGACTGGCTTTAGGTCCTAAAATGACCCCCTTGTGCTCACGAGCGCGTAGGTACTTACAGATTCCATGTTGGTTAACGTTTGAACCCTAAGCCTAGGTTTATAGTAACCGTCCGATCGTGTGTAATCCGACCGTCCGATGAAGACCAAACTCTTGAGACATGTGTCCTAGGCATATTGGAACCTTTAGGGACCCTCGAATTGGTGATAGGAGGTCGTGGGCCCCACAGCCCTGTTGACCAATTATAGGCAGTTTGACACCTCGGTCGATTGTGAGTTTTCCGAGGCAGTTAGAAATTTTGTGAAATGATAAAATGGTCATGTAGACAACTCCTAACTGAGAATGAGTTATCTAAGTCGTGTTTCAGGTTGGATAGATAGTTAATTATAGTTTGCGGCTTGGATAGAAGCGGCATCTCCGAGACCTGTGAGGATTATGGCCCGGCTTGCGAAGATGGAATTGACGGTATTAATGGAGTTGACGGATCAAGATTAGAGTTACGCCTAGGTGGAGAGAATTTCAGTTCTGAGATATTCTTAAACTAAAATAAGAGAGTTTAGTGTATGGCATACTTATTTTCAGTGTGTGACTGACATGAGTAGAGGAAATAAATACGTGTGGTTTGATCCCTCAATAAGGGTACGTAGGTAGCCTAAGTTTACAAGGTGTAGTCACGAGTTGGAGTCTTTGAGAATGTTAGTGTATTATTGATATTCTGAAAGCTGAGATGAATTTTATTAGCATAATGATTTATTCGATTTATTGAGGCCTGAGGCCAGAATAGTATGATGCTTCATTTTTGATATAATTTGATACATGCTGGCAATTGGGTTATATATAAACATATATGCTTGTTTTACAGGTGGGAATCTTTGGGAAATGTCCAATTTACAGGGGAGACTCTGCCGAATTTCATTGAAGTTTGGTTAGAAGGGCAATTTGGTCATTTGTGCCTAGCACCTACCACGTGTCGAACACACACAGGTTTTGACTCTAATTCCAAAATGGAATTTGGGTCAGGTCCTGTCAAGAAAAGTGTTTTCATAAACCCTCGACTTTTTCTAGAATAGAAAAGTATTTTCATTAAACCCTGGAAATAATTAAAAAGAAAGAAAATGTCCAAATTAGGAAGCGAGGAAAAAAAAAGGGCCCACCATAACTAATTATACAGTCACAGTATAATTAATTACGGTGGGCCCTAAACCCTAAAATGAACATAAACGAGAAAAGGGAGAAAAAATAGCAAAAGAATAAAAGGCCAACCTTTGATTTGGTTCCTATACTCAATTTTTAATGGATCCGAACTATGTCTCCCTAATTTATTTATTATTTTTTTTACAATTGTTGCAGATTTTAGATTTTTTTAAGGGGGAATTATTGCAGATTTATAAGGAGTATAACTAGGGTTTAAACTACTAGTTATTTATGCCATTAGATTAATCTAATGGTCTATATTGAATAGTTGCTCACAAAATATCGTTTTTAGGTCCTTAAGTGAGTGCGACTGCAAACCCAAAAAAATATTAAAAATAGAAATGGTGTAATCATTACTAATTTTGTACTGGAAGGGGAGGCTAATAAAAAGTTTTTTTTAAAAGAAAACGAAAAGTGATGCGAACTCACATTGAAATGCAGAGGGAGGTCATCTTTTTTCTCTTTCTGAGTCGAACTTCATCACCTACATCATCATCATCTAATTCCTCTTTATTTTCATCATCATCATCATCCTCTGGCATTGAGCAAAAACCAAAACCATACTTTGGCATGTTGTTAAGAGACAGGTGGACCCCATAGCTTTTGAAGAGCCCTCTGCCGCCTTTGTAGTTAACATTAATAATTCGATGAATAGACGACTTTAATTGATCATCACTCTTTCGCTTCATGTGAGCAGGTAATGGAATTTTGCGCGGTACTGCAATATAGTGTAGCCCCACATGAGCTGCCCCTGTCAATCCTTCTGACACTGAGTAATCATTACCAGGATACGTCGAATTCAAAAGTGACAAATGAGGAAACTGCGGCCTACTAAATGATTTCGTAGGTTCACAAACAGTACACAAAACCAAGTTCTCGAATCCAGAAGTCCAAGGAATTTGAATCTGTAAGTCCAACAAATGATCGTTATCATTTGGAAGAAGTACACCTACGTCCTTGCGAAAACTGAACGACTGTGGAACTTCACTGCCTGGAAGTAAAACATTAATAAAATGTCCGGTATTGACTGCTGCCTATAACACAAGACAAGACAAGAGAGGCATATATTAATTAGTCATGCGTGCATACTATAGCATTAACAATACATGTAATGTATGCGTATTATATAGAAATTAAGAGAAAAATATATATACGTCACCTGATTCACTAAAATATTTGCCATCTTTGCAACGTCCAACCCTATATTATGGCATAGCCTATGGCAATTGGACAAATTCATGTACTGAATATGTTGCATGTCTCCGTCTTCCAATATCTTTGACAATGTTGGAAATCTTTCTAGTGATATGCAATCAGCCATATTGATAATTTCTATAGACGCTGGAAGTTGTCCTGCAATTTCTACAAGCTTCTTGCAACCACTCAAATTAAGCATCTGCAAGTTGACAAATTTGCACACAGGAAGACTGACAAAATTGCTTTTGGATAGATCAATATCATTAAAGTTCAACCAGCAACAAAAATTCTCCAAGGAATTAATGTCTGATACATTGCACTCTTGCATCCATAATGAAAATAGAGGAAGTGATTCAGCACTCGATAAAACTTCAGAGATCAATTTATTTGGAAGTGTGACAAGTTTCAGGCATCGATTGAGGTTTAAATATGTGAGATTTTGCAACCCATAAATACTTTGTGGCAGATTTGCGAGGTTTTCACATCCTTCTAAATTTAAAATTTCAAGTGCAGTGAAATCTCCAATTGATGAAGGCAACTCTTCTATTGCAGTTCTTTCTAAAGATAACTTTGCAAGCGCAGTTAGATGTCCAAATGAGGAAGGCAACTCTTTTATATGAGTTCCACATAAGAACAAATATTTCAGCCCAATGAGATGTCCAATTGATGCAGGCAACTCTTTTATAGCAGTTTCGGCAAGGCCCAAATGATATAAGGATTCCATTTTGTCCACAATTTCTGGGAAACTCTCCAACTTTATGCAATCGCTAAGATCCAACCATTTCAGAGATTTCCACCGAACTTTATTTGGAAACTTGGTGAGTTCACAGCAGCCACAAAAATCCAATACTTGAAGTTTATCAAGATATCCAACAGATGGATGAACCTCAACTAAACTTTCACAATAACTAGCATTCAAGTACCTTAAGTTTGGGCTGCCTGATAGGTCGGGGATTTCAGTTAGGAATTCAGAGAGCTCTAAATTCAAAGATGTCAACTTTGTGAAATGCTGTGAAACCAAAAAAGTATTGAAAAAATAATAATAATCAAATGGATAGCATTAAAGAAATTTACAACATACATCAGTTAATAAACGAGACCTCTTAAAGTACCTTCAATCCCTCCCACAGTTGTTTGATGCGGCTGTAAGGCAGATTGAGCAACCCTAGTCCCTTTGGAAGAAAATTGGGTGGAAAAGATTGGAGCGGACATCTATACCAATCAAGCACTCTCAACATGTTTGGGAGACAACCAATGTCTCCAGAAAGACATACGTTATAGTTCATGAAAATTTTAAGATTTTTCATCTTCGAGAAGCAATCAACATCCATGAATATCTCATAATCCTTTTTGGGGGAATTTAACATGATGCCTGTGATTTTTTTTTTCCCCTAACATGAAAAAGAAAAGGGACCATTGTTACAAAGTATTTAATAAAAAAAGGTGCACGAGTTTCAAATTCAACTTTTTCTTCCAAATAAAAATAATAATTATTATTATACTTACAGTATTATTAGTCAGAACATGCTCGACATCTTCATGAAACCACAATCTGCTACGTCCTCCGGCTTCAGTGGGCGACTCTTGCTCAACTATGTCCTTACCCATCTCTTCTAATAAGTCATGCATCCGAATATAATCTCCATGTTCAACACTTATGAGGGCCTTTTCAATGAGTACTTCAATACCATACCTAGGGCTGAGGTCACAAGCTTCTAGTGTTTCTATCACATAGTTTCTACTTTTACCCTTAAAGAAACATGCGATGTCAAGGAAAACCTCCTTGACAATATCATCCAAGGTATCGTAACTTACTTTGAGAACATCTTGAATTTTCTTGCTTTTGAAACCATCCAATGCATGTTCCCATTTATCTATACTTCCACCACATAGACAAGAACCAAGAACTTTCAAAGCCAAAGGAAGGCCTTGGGCATAGCGTATTGCACTTTCTGCAAGTTTCACATAATCATCCAAAGAAGGCCCACTTCTTTTGAAGGCATGCCAACAGAAGAGCTCAAGAGCTTTATCATCATCTAAAATCTTGACCTCATGGATTAAATTAACATCATGAGCAGTTAACAGTTGCTTATCCCTTGTTGTTATGATAATTCTACTGCCTGCACCAAACCAATCACATGCTCCAACTAACTTGTGTAACTGTTCCATGTCATCCACGTCATCAAGAACCAAGAGAATCTTTCTACGACTCAACCATTCCTTTATAATAGTGACTCCTTTATCAACGTTGGTCACCTTCAAATTTTTTACCCTTTGAATGTCAGAAAGAAGATTCTCTTGTAATCCGACTGAACCTTCATGCGACGTTGACCTTTCTCTAACGTTTGCCAAAAAGGAACAACCTTTAAATTTGTGGGCAATTGAATTATAAACAGCTTTAGCAATTGTGGTCTTACCAATTCCACCAGTTCCCCATACCCCTACCATACGAACATCGCTTTCCCCCAAATCTAATAGCTCATTCATAACTTGTACTTGAGCTTGCATTCCAACTGGATACTCTGCCACTTCCAAACACACGGTGTTTAATACGTGTTTTGAAATCTTTTCAATGATGTTTTGGATAAACTTAGATTCAGATTGACGCCTGCCAATTGAAAAGAAAATGAAGCATTTAGTGACATGGCATTTCTATATAACATAAAAAAGAAAAAGAACATTATACACACAAAAAGAAGAGAACTTTGAGCAACGATGAATAAATTAACTCTTATAAAACTGATTCCAATTAAAGTTTGTCAAGAATTGGAATCAAAACTAGTTTTATTTTTAAAATACACGATCTTATATTTTTCAAATAATAAGTATAATTTTTGAAACGGAGAAAATTAATTTATTAATAATAAGTATAACCTTAATAATTTTCGCACTATTAATTAATTATTGACATAAAAATATAGTGGCTATACTTATTACAAAGAAAACAAAAGGAAAAGCATTATATAAAGGGGGTTAGAAATTTACTCGTCCAAAGTGAACCCTGACAAAGCTGCTACGTGTGACCCCCAAATCTAATAGCTCATTCATAACTTGTACTTGAGCTTGCATTCCAACTGGATACTCTGCCACTTCCAAACACACGGTGTTTAATACGTGTTTTGAAATCTTTTCAATGATGTTTTGGATAAACTTAGATTCAGATTGACGCCTGCCAATTGAAAAGAAAATGAAGCATTTAGTGACATGGCATTTCTATATAACATAAAAAAGAAAAAGAACATTATACACACAAAAAGAAGAGAACTTTGAGCAACGATGAATAAATTAACTCTTATAAAACTGATTCCAATTAAAGTTTGTCAAGAATTGGAATCAAAACTAGTTTTATTTTTAAAATACACGATCTTATATTTTTCAAATAATAAGTATAATTTTTGAAACGGAGAAAATTAATTTATTAATAATAAGTATAACCTTAATAATTTTCGCACTATTAATTAATTATTGACATAAAAATATAGTGGCTATACTTATTACAAAGAAAACAAAAGGAAAAGCATTATATAAAGGCGGTTAGAAATTTACTCGTCCAAAGTGAACCCTGACAAAGCTGCTACTTGTGAAAGAGCTGCCCTCCATTTGTTGACCTTCTGCATATTTTCTTTGTATTTGCACTCCATGTTAGCCAGTGCATCCCCGAAGCTACCTCTCTGATTCCGTACATCTGATGGATTCACCTTGTAAAAAACTGGTATGACCAGTTGTTGTTTTGATTTCTTGCAGTCAAGAATCTTAACAAGTTCATCCAAACACCACTTTGAAGAGGCATAGTTTTTAGAGAACACAACGACAGAAATCTTTGATTCTTCAATTGCTGTGAAAAGCGCGCTTGATATTTCTTCTCCTCTTATGAGCTCATCATCATCCCTGAAGGTGTTAATGCCTTGTTGACATAAAGCGCTATACAAATGGTCCGTGAAGTTGTGGCGCGTGTCTTCGCCTCTGAAGCTCAGAACGACATGGTATTTCCATGATTTGGTGAAAGGAGCAGAAGAAGAAGAGGCTTCTCGGTTGGCCATGGAAGCCAACATAATTGTTTCAGTGTTTGCTTCTCTCTGGATTCGCTAAGCAAAATATGAGTCTTTTTTACTTGAAGAGTTTGGATGTGAGCAAATGTCGCTGAAACTTCCGGTCTTCAGTTATTGATGCGTTTTCACAACCTGACACAACCTGCCACCCAATGATTGCAACATGTAACTAATTTTTTATTACTAGGATGTTTTTCTCTTTTTGCTGAAAAGTCTCACTCTCTCAGAAGAGTTTGGGTGTGAGCAAATGCAGAAAACGTTCTCTTTGCTTTGCATCTAATGTCAATTCATGAAAAGATGAGGATGAGCAAATAAAATATAAGAGGATAATCTTTTTCATAATAAAATATTTACAATGATAATTTAATAAAAATATATGGAATAAAAATATATAGATGGAATCTTCCTCACTAACCAAGGCTCTTTTCCCTTCCCTCTATATAATTAGTAATAGTTATTCTCAATAACAAATATTATAATAAAAAATGTGAGAGCATGCAAGTGCATCTGAAGATGCGCCCAAACCAACCCCAACCTCAAACGAAATCGTGCTATGTCCTCGGAAAATCATGATCGGTGGCAAGGAAAGATCGACGTTGTTTCGGGGAGCTTCTCTTCCAACCAGACGACATTGCTATTGTTGTTAAGAGAGTGAGAGGCCACGATTACAGGATTGAGTGAGGGTTTGAGGGGCAGGGAAGGGCTAAGGGGCGTCGGAGAAGACGAGAGAGAGCCAATTCGCGATGGAGATCAACAACACGACGACGAAGATGATGGCGATGGCCACATGGCTTTGATGGTGACGAAGGTTTTTGGGTGATCGGGTGGCGTTGATGTCGTGGTCTTTGGGGTTTGTTGACGGCATCGTCATCGTCATCGTCCCCAACGTTCATGTTTGTCCGATCGCCACCGAATCAAAACCTCATCTCTGTGAATTTGATTAATTAGGGGTTTGGATTTGGGACATTTGTTCTTTGTGATTTTTTTATTTTTATTTATTTGAAATTTTGAAGGTTTTTTGAATTCTGAAACAGCCAATGTTAACGAAGGCGTAGAGTTTTGGTAAATAGAGACGTTGTTGTGGTGGTTGTTCTTGTGAAAAGGCGCAAAATCGTGGTTGTACAATTTCGCTATATCGAGGCATGTTTATGTATCATTTGGGTTTGGGGCAGGTTTGGGTGGCTAGGTTGGTGGTTGGTTACAAGGAGGTGGTGGTTTGCTGGGGTTGGGAGGGGTTGGGACTGTTGGTGGGCGTCGGGGTTGGGAGGAGGAATGGAGAAAGATGTTTTACTTTTATTTTAAATTTATTTTCCTTATTTTAATAATTTGTGGACCGAATTACCCCTCTACAACTAACAGAAGTTAAAAAAATTTGACAGAAATTGAGAATTGTCCTTGAATTGCTTCAAATTAAAACTACAGGAACAAAATTGACCAAATTGAAACGACAAAGACCAAAGTGGTAAAAGTGACAAACTACAAGGACTAAAAGTAACTTTTTGCCCAAAAAAATATTAAATTTTCTTTTTACCATTGTAAATTTTTTATTTTGATTTAAAAAATGCAAAACTAAAATTTAATACAATTTATTTTTAAAAGGGTGCTATTCCCAGTGACTTTTTTGTTTTTTTTTTGTTTTTTTCAAATAACGTTTGATAGATTTTTTATTTTTTATTTTCTTGATTGAACTATGTCAAAGGAAATGTCATACTGTGTATCTATGTATATAAATATATCTTATGCAAGATGCATTTCATAAAGATAATTAGGTATAAACATAATGGAAGAAAATCATATACGAGTTTTTAAAGTATTAATATTGGGTGGTTGATCGTTATCCAAATTTTAGGAGCAAAGGACGACCCCCCTGCCTCTAATAATATTCTTCCACCATCTTTAGCTGATTCCATTGAATCTCTACTTGTTAAGCATTTCCTTACAAAATATAAAAAGTACAATCTTTTAAGAGTGAAATGTGCTAAAGAAGTTATTAGAAAATGTCTACATCTTAAGGATTTTACAGAAATGCCAATAGAAAAGCTTCCACACGGAGAGACGACAAAAATGTTTACAGATTGTATGACTTATTATGTCGATGAATGTGTTGAGATATAATTTAGTAGCTTAATTATGTTGTGAAATTTGAGCTCTGGTATGAACAATCTTACTCTACTCTCTTTCTTTCTTGACATGAAAGTTCAAAAAATATAAATATGGATTCTTTCATATGTGCATGTAGTTTATGTGATCAATTTTTGTAATGGAATTTAAGCTCTAACACCCTGATTAAAGTTCACTTTTTGCATATGAAGGCGATAGAGTTTTATAGATAAATAAGGATGAAAACAAGTACAAAAAAACTTGGCTATGTCGCAGAGGATTAGGCGAGCTTCTCAACCACAAGCGGGAAAAGCAACCTTGCCACCGTTAGAGTGCCCCCCGCCGCGGGCGCAGTCCCCCTAAGATCATCTCTGTAAAAAATTACTTGTTACAATCCTTGCACAAAACGTCGATAATTAAATATGGTGGTTCTTCAAACCAAGTAGTAGTGGAGCCGATATGTGAACCAAAGTGTGATAAAAGATGAGCCACTCTTTTTGCAGTGCGGCAGATACGGGTAAAATCATCCTCAATGATCTGACTGTGTAAGGTTCACTTAAATCTCTAGAACCATTACAAACTCTACCACTTTGGCTACACGTGATCTAGCTGCTGTAATTAGGATGACCAAAACTAAAGTTATAATATAAAGCTCATTAAATGTTATTTTTTCTGTGTCACAGATGTCATTGGTGAGTAGATATGGGAGATGGACATTGAATATTTATGTGGTTTTGCAAGGGGTGTGATTTAGTGCCCTAGTAGTATTACATTTAATAAAAACAGTACTTTGTTCAACCATTAAAGCAATATTATCTTGTGTTTTGTCTCTTGACTTATTAATAAAATTGTCCAATGCTAACATGTCAAGCTAGATCAGTATATTTCCTTGCACTCAAATTCTATCTCCTTTCTATGCATTAAAATAATACATGGGATGGAAGTTGATGTCTCTTCCAAGAGGGAAAAAGATGGTTGGATTCAGTTGACCTTCATATGTAACTAAACACAGAGCACAACGATATCGATAAAAAGAAGAAAATTACTATTACTCTTAATCAAAAGACAATAAATTTATTATTTATTATTATTTTATTAATAATCTGGATGACTAACTTGACTTTGTGTTCCACCTTTGGCAAGGGGTGTGATTTAGGTGACAACGTAAACAAAAGTTTGGGTATCCTTTCTCTTCAATTTTCCGGAACAACTCCACTGCCTCGGACTCTTGCAAAGCATTCAGGGCATAAGCATCAGGCTCAAAACCATATTTAAAGGTGAGTGCTAAGACAGAGAAACCCAAGTCCACCCTGTTCAGACGGCATAAGCAATTCATGAAAATATTCATTGTAGTGACATCAGGTTGGAATTGACGACAACCCATCAACTGTTTATACATAGATACTAGGGCAGAATATTGCTTCATCTTGTAAAGTGCCCCAAACAAACATTTAAAAGTCCAATTAGAGGGAATGGGTTTCGTTTGAATCATGGAATTGAAGTAACCCAATGCTTCCTCTGACTTAAGTGTTCCAGATTTGCACCGTGTTTGAATCAGAGTCTCCATATCACTAACATTATTATCAGCATCAGAATGAAATTCACTTCTTTTCAGCAGAAAATGAGTGATAAAAGAACGATTACCTGGTCGTGGGCTCGTGGTTAGCATCCTCATCTTCATCCTTATCATTGTCAGTCTCAGTTCAATACGACCGGAACAGAAACAAAGATGAGAAAATAAACGGGTGGAGAGATATAAAGAAATAGGGGATTAGAATTGGGATTTGGCATTTGGGCTGCTGCGAAATGGGCTGGGATTTGTTTTTCTGTTTTTGTTGGAAATATTATATCAACCTTTTTATGTATACATATACATTGTAACCCAAAAAAAAAAAAAAAAGATACACATATATAGAATACATAAGTATACATGCGTTTAATGGAAAAATATTTTGTGATGTGTATATTTGTTCATTCTTTAAAAAAAAATTGTTAGTCTTGCTCTAGACAAGCACACCTATGTATATATAATAAACGTTTAGCATATATAGGCATGTGTATAATTCTGATGTATACATGTATGTGTGTTTTATATATATATACATACATTATAACAAAAAATAGATACACATATATAGAATACATAAGTATACATGCGTTTTTGTTATATAGTATGTTTGTATATGATAACCACACACATGAATTTTTGTAATATTCAAACAAACATGTTAGCCCAAAAAACCTAGTCTTAAAGTAATATATATTCCTATGTTTAGTATACATGTATTTATGAATGTTTGTATGTTGGAGGGCACTTGAATATAACAAATAAGAAATGGAATATATATATATATATAGGACCTATAAACTAAAAACAATGCAATTAAAATTATAAATCATAAAATATTATTATAAAGTCGGAATTTTTCGTAAAAAATTGGAAAAATCGGATCATAAAGGGTTTGAAGAATTTCAGAAATTTTCAGATCGGAATTTTGAAATTTTCAAAATTTACAAATACATTTCGATTTCGACATGAATTTTATTAGAAATTTCAGATTTCAGCACTTTCGGATATCAGATGTGTCAAAGTCCAATTTTTGAAAATTTTCGATACGGAATAAGTCGGAATCAGATTCCAATCCAATTTACAACCCTATAATGAAGAGACGGCAGATGTAGGCTGTAGCCAGTGCATTGGAGGAGAGTGGGGCCCTCTTCATATTGGCCATGAGGGCCCCAATGAAAGGAACGGACGTTGATGAAGAGGATCAGAGCATGATCCCACATGGGTTCAAAGATCGTGTGGCGGGGAGAGGCCTCGTGATAAAAGGGTGTGCCCCTCAAAATGAAATATTGAGGCACCGGGCCTTTGGATCATATTTGATGTATTTTCGAATGAATTAGGAAAAGGATTAACTTTAATGCCCATTGTTTAGGGGGGTTACCAGTCTTGTTCATG